AGCCATAAAAGGTATTATTAATTTAGATTGTGAATGCAATATACATACTATATAATATAATTAATTATAATTTACAATACCGTATAATACTCATTTAAAAAATAGTGTATTTTATTATTATTTTTTTTAATTTTTAAGAAAATAACATACAGTAGGCATGCATGTCCTATATGGTGAGTTGGATAACCGAGCGGTTAAGGGAGGGGAACCTCTGTGTACAGTTATAATATCGTATCGGTTAGAATGGCACGTACGCCTATGTTCTGGTTGTGAAACGGTTCTTCACGAATAAGGACTATAAACTGTAGGTCCAGTTTAATTACCTTTGAGACGAGTAAGGTGTTTAGCCCCTACTGAAGAGTGTCGCTGGTACCTGTTTACCGGGTAGCTCAGACACGTAGATACCCTTAGGGGAGAAGCAAGTTACATAGAGTAAGGGCCGTCCACACCTTGAGTGCTTTGAGACCATTTAGGTGTGAAGCGCTTTATATAAATCTGTTTACTAAAATGTTCACATCAATCATCGTAGAAGCTACAAAGCCTTGAAATATGTTGGCTATTTTAAAATTAGTTGTCTATTTTGGCATTTCTATCGGGTCATTTCAGAACAAAAATGAGCAAATTGGTGGCATGAAGCTACCCCCTATCATTTTGGGATTTATCGATTCATGAAAAAAAAAACCGTATCCAACTGCTCACTTTTTTCATGTAATTATACACACATAAGGCCCATTTACTGTAATAACAAGTGGAAAATTTTTCAAGAGAGGAAACCTTGATTTTTGAAGAACTTAAATTAAAATCGCTAAAAGACACTTCAGAAGTCGGGAAAGCTCATTTCTCACCATTTAAAAATCAAAATTTTCCAGGGAAGAACCCAAACCTCCCTTTTCTCTTTGGGATTATAATTATAATTATAATAATTTTCAAGATGGGGAGACCTTAAAATTTAAAGAACTTAAAATGAAATTAAAAGACACCTCAAAAAGTCGGAAAAACTCATTTCCCGCCTTCTAGGAATCAAAGTTTTCCCGGCGAGAACCCCCGGACCCCCCTTTCTTTTTTGGGGATTTATGGATTCATGGAAAAAATCGTATGCAACTACTCATTTTTTTTATGTATATGTATACACACATAAGGCCTATTTACTGTAATAACAATGCGATAAATTTACCTGACTGTTTTCAAGAGGGGAAAACCTTGAATTTTAAAGAACTTAAAAGTAATTAAAAGACACCTCAGTCAGGAAAACTCATTTCCCGCCTTCCTTTAATCAAAATATTCACGGGGGAGAACCCCCGGACCGCCATTTCTGTTTAAGCTTTATGGATTCATGGAAAAAAATCGTATGCAACTATTAAATTTTTTTAAATGTATGTATATACACATAAGGCCTATCTACTGTAATAACAGGGATACAAATTTTACCTGACTGTTTTCAAGAGGGGAAAACCTTGAATTTTGAGGAACCTAGCAGTAATTAAAAGACACCTCAGAAGTCGGGAAAACTCATTTCCCGCATTCTAGTAATCAAAATTTTCCCGGAGCAGGACCCCCTGACCCCCTTTCCTTTGGAGCTTATCGATTCATTAAAAAAAGAATACGTATGCAACTACTAATTTTTTTTTCATTTTTGTAGGCTTGTGTATACACACATAAGGCCTTTTTCCTGTAGTAACAATGGGAAAAAATTACCTGACCGTTTACAAAAGGGGAAAACCTTGAAAGTTGAAGAACTTAAAAGTGACTAAGACATCTCAGAAGTCTGAAAAAACTCATTTCCCGCCATCTAGGATTCAAAATTTAAATGGAAATAACGTCAGTCTATTTGGTAGTCTTTGTATTGTACATTAGAGCAGTATTAAGATGTATTATTTATTTTAGTTAAAAGACCTTAAATTGTAGCATAAGTAGCTTGCTTTGCTAAGTTGTTACTATGGTTTTTTGTTTGTTAATTATTAATAATTTTTTATGTATTTATATTTATTTTTAATTTTTTTAACGTTTAAATTATTCTAAACATCATAAAAGACAAAATTTTCAAAAGTTCCGTTTCTCAAATCAGTTACATAACATAGTCTTTTAGTCGGCTTGGAAGTCTGATGCTTCTCTTTGGTCGTTGCCTATCTGGTGTTTGAGGTGCTGGGATTTGTTCATCGTCATAGTCACTATCGAGCTGAAGCTGTTGATTGTAGCTTTTGCTGTTCTTGAATCGGTCAGCCATTTTGAAAAACGATGAATTCCTGGTGATTGTGTGATTTCCATTGTATGCTGATATCATGGTTCCATTGACTTTTGTAACCGAGTAAGGTTGTGTATGATAAGGTGTTTCATGGCTGCGTAATAAGCTTCCATCTCTTTTTCGTAGAACCACATCTCCTTCATGAAAAGTTTTGTTTTGGAAGCGTTTGTTTCTTTCTGCGTACAGGTTCCTCGTGGATTTTGCCTTTTTGTCATGTAGACAGATAGTTTTGTCATTTGTAGAACTGCGTAGTATCTCAGGCAGCCGTGTGCGTATTTCTCTGCTAAACATCAGCGTAGCTGGTGGAATCCCAGTTGAACTATGTGGTGTTGCCCTATGATTTCTCAAGTATTTGTTCAATGTTTGCCGCCAGTTCTGTTGTGCTGCTGTGGCAGTACGGTAGAGTTTCTTGAGGTTCCGTATCATCCTTTCTACTTCACCATTTGCACGTGGCCAAAGTGGTGTGACTTTTCTGTGCTTAAAGCCAGAGTATTGTGCAAATTGTGAGAACTATCCTCAAATTGAACGGTGGGCCATTGTCTGTTCGAACAGTTACTGGAATGCTGTATGTAGCAAAAATGGTGTGAAGTTTTGGATCACACTTTTGGCTGATGTTGATTTCGTGACTTCTATGACAGGAAAACGGATATAATCATCGATTACTGCCATTAAGTATTATCCCGTTGGCAATTCTTTAAAGTCAACGCTTACCTCTTGCCAGGCTCCTTATGGGAGTTTAGACATACTAAGTGGTGCAAAGGCGTCCTTCTCGAGAGTTGATGCCTGACACGGAAGACATGAAGCTATGGTTTCTTCAACCATATGATCAAGGCCAGGGAACCACACTTTTATCCTCATGAGTTGTTTTGTCTTAATTACTCCTTGGTGGCCTTCATGTGCGATATCGACTGCTCTTTGCTGTAATGATTTGGGAATTACGATGCGATGATCACGCAGCAGTATGTCGTTTTTGATACAAACACTGAGTTGGTCTCTGAGTTTGAAAAAGAGAGTCGATGTCTTTTTTGGTAGTCCTCGATGCTTGCCTTTCGATGGTGTGCCAATTGTTGGTTTTTATGGCTGATATACATAGTTGTAGCGTTATGTTATGTCTGTTGCGGTTGTTCTATCTCTTCAAAAGTGAGGGATCTTGGAATTGCATTTGATAGTGTGAGATTAACATACTCTTCTGACATTCGTTCCTCTCTGCTGGATTCTTTCGTCGTTGGCAATGGGTGGCGGGATATATAGTCTGCTCGGTTGACTTTTCCTGGTTGGTATTTTAAGGTGTAGTCGTATTCTTGTAGTCTCATGAGCCAGCGTTCTATGCGCAGTGGTGGTTTGGAAGTGGCGTTGTTGAAGAGAGGGAGCAGCGGTTTGTCTGTAACAACCTAACATTTTCCTCCGTACAGATACGTGTGGAAGTGTTTTATTCCCCATGTAACGCAAAGGCTTCCCGTTCAGTTTGTGAGTAGCGTTGTTCTACTTGTGTCAATGATCTGCTGGCCAGTGCCACCAAACTGTTTTATCACCATCGTGTTGGGCTAACATTATTACAATTACCTCTGTGAGGAGTTGCTGGTTAAATTATGCTAGATTACAATGTTCTGTGATGGAATATTTGACTGCTTGAAGAGCGACTGCATGTGGTTCTTTCCACATCCATTCTGAATCAGCTTTGGTAAGCAAGTGGTTTCTGTGAGTGTTACCAGATTAGGTATAAAGCTTGAACAATAAGTAGCAAGTCCTAGCAGGCTTCGAACCTCTTCTTTATTGGTTGGTGGTGTTGCATTTTGCAATGCCTTAACTTTGTCTAGAATCTGTAAGTTTGCCTAGCCCAGTAAAAAGATAACTGTGTCGTCTGCATCAACACTCAACGCAACATGTATGTCAATTACGTAGAGTCTCTGGGCACTCATGAAACACAACAGAGAATACTTCACAATAGTTTAGTATGGAAGTATAGCCCACGTAGAGGGCGATCAGTGAATGTTACGTAACTAACGTCATTTAATCTCTTTGTTTTAGAACAATAGACAAGAAGCGACGCTAATGACATCATTTAATCCCTTTGTTTTAAAACAATAGAAAGGAGCTACTGACATCATTTAATCCCTTTGTTTTAGACAGCTATATCTACCAGGTGTTCCCCTTGTTTTAGATACAATAGAATCCTAATTGTCTATTATCTTTTAAACCTCTTGTTCTCCGAATTTTTAGTCTCAATAGAATCTTACTTATCAATTAAAATAGTGAGGTGCTGAAACTGAAAACAAAAGATTGTTCTCCAGGTTTCTTTTCCCTAATAACTAAAGTAAATTACAAAATTAAATTCAGAAATCTAAATACGAATAGATTTACTGACATCACTTAATCTTTCTATTCAATTCAGTGTATATATACTGGAGTAAAACCTTAGTTTAAACATCATTAAATAAGAAAAGGAAAAAAAAACATCCATACGCTGTTTCAATTCTTTAAACTACAAGCTGTTATTGAATACGAGTAGTTTTTTTTTTTTTTCATAGATGAAGTCTTACGCAAATAACTATGACGAAACAGAAGTAAATAGTTTGGACTTTGAGAGGTGGAAGGTTTTACATTAATGATGTTGAACGGTATATGAATTGGTAAGTTGAAATAGCTTGGACTTTTAGGAATTTAAACCAGGCGTTAAAACATAATGTGAAAGTAAATAGGTAAACTAGGAAATTATTACTTTATGGTGTTTTGCATTTACCTACAGGATAATGTTTTAGAAGAGATGGCTATTGAAAACGAAATAGTGATAAGAGATTTGGTTGACGAAGAAGAAGTTGAAGACATTGAAGGTTTGAAAGATGAAAATGTAAGTTTAACGTTTTTGCAAGTAAAAAACTATAAAAAAATATATATATATATATATATATATATATATATATATATATATAAAACTTAGTCTAAATGAAATTTTCTTGTTACAATTTTTTTTCTGTTATTACAGTTTGAATTTGAAGAGTGTAATGAAAACACAAATGAGGAAGAAGAAAGTCGGATTGCTTGTGAAAGGAGAAAATACGTATTTCGTCATAAAATCAGTCTAGGAATGAGAATATGTCCATTCAATTATAAGCATGTAGTTAAGTACGAGGAATTTAGAAACCATCTAATCTCATGCATGAATAAGAATGATGGACCATTGTGTCAGTACAGTGATGAATATATAATTCCTGAATTTCATTAAAAAAAAACACATGAAGAGGAAAAATGCAGGAAATTGGGAAATCGGAAGCAACACTAGTTTCACGCCAAATAAAGAACTTATAGAATATTGGAAAGCAACTTTCCGAGCTGAAAGAGGAATCGGATACGCGAAACTGTATATATAATCCTGAAAACCGAATTCGCTTGACGACGCGAGATATTAAAGAAATTCCTGTGGAGAGCGTTTGATAAACGAACACTTAATACATGAAGTATATCGTGGCCTGTTTCAATAACAACGACATTCCAGTTATTGATTTAACTAGAGAAGAAGAAGAAATAGTGATTGATCTGACAAATATTTCAGATGAAGAAGTAAGTCCCCTTGTTATAGACTTAACTGAGGAAGGAGGAATCTCCATGGATGACAATACACCAAATATGTGTTTGGATGATAAGCTACCAAGCCTGTCCGACGATGATTTTCCATTCAAATTTGTTAGTGAAGAGGAGATTTTGAAAGAGGCAATCTACGACGAATGCGTCTACGCTCACTTCCTAATTACTGAACATGAAGTTGAATATGAAGATAATGTGTTTGAAGATGGAAACGAACAAGATAAGCACGCTGAAATGCTCGCAAAAGAACGTTTAGAATTAATTTTTATTGAACATTTTACAAAAACTTATTCGATTTGGTTAAACGAGACTGTTACGGTTGTGAGTTTGACAAACCAAGCCAGATAGACCATGACGTATGCCTTATGATGAGTGCTGAAGAACAATTAGATAGATATTTTGAAATGATTTTTTATGGTAATTTCATCGAAGATAGAATGATGTATGAAAAATGGATCGATCAGCAATGCAATAGGTCTATTTTTAAATAGTTAAGATATACTATATTGTTAAATTTAATTAAGGCCGACATTAATATGTTTAATAAGTTTGTAAAATGCTTTGGAAAATCGATTTTTTCCATATCTTCTGTATCTGTTAATGTTTTGTTTTTAAATATTACTTCTCAATAAGTTTGCTATGAAGATATAACGCTGATGTTGGTGTATGTTTGCTATTAAAATTTATGAAATTTTTTTTTTTATATATTTGCGTGTTATTTATATTGCGTGCTGTTTGCGTGAACGTTTCATTAGTGCGAGTGAAAGAAATGAGTATGGATGAGAAGTTGAGAAATGTGTAATACAATCCTAAACATCCAGGAAGTTTCGGAGGAGCAGATCGACTTTATCAAAACGTGAAAAATGAGTTAAATATTACTATAGAACAAGTTAAAAGATGGCTGAGTAGACATGATACATAAACCTATTCAACGTCATTTCCCGAGAAATAGGGTATTTGTAACAGCTATAGACGAGCAGTGGGAATTAGATCTTGTAGACATGACATCTTTAAAACGTTACAATAAAAAATATAGGTTTCATGTATCGATGTACTATCTAAATTTTCGTGGGTTATTCTTATAAAATATAAATCCACTGATTTCATGTTGAAAGCTATGAAGACCTTTCTTTCCGGTGAAAGAAAACCTATTCAAATTCATACTGATAGAGGTTTACAGAATTTAAAAACAAAAAGGTACAATAGTGGAGTTGAATAGCTTGGTGGTTAAGATGCTTGCCTTCCAATCCCAGGGTCCTGGGTTCAATTCCTGCCAGTTGCAGAATTTTTCTCACGACCAAAACAACTCCACTCCCTAAATCTCATATGGAGATTTAGTATGTGTGAAGCATTGTGTGTGTATGTTTGTCTTGTGTAAGGGATTGTCACCTACAAGTAGGATAGTGATATATTCGCTATTGACAATCCTTGGCACATGTATTGTGTGCCTAAATAAATAAATAAATAAATAAATAAGCCTATCTTAAATCGCAAGACATACATTTCTTTACGACAAACATTGAAACGAAGGCTAGCGTGGTTGAAAGATTTTAGGTAACTACTTAAGGAACGTTACCATGTAAAACTATTTGATTGTTTGATATTATTGCTCTCATAAAACGTCAATACAAAATACAAATTCAAATGTATACAAAGGAAAAATAAACACTGGAACAACATGATAACCCTATAAGGTCGGAATATAGGAACCCTAAATATTTGAAACAAACCTAATTTTAATTCAAACTACAATTACTATATAATATAATCGATGAACTAGAAATGTTAAAATAATAACCTAGTAAAATCCAAATTTCCCTAGAGAAAATAATAAATATTTATCACCCGTACAAAATACATAAAGAGTTGAAAATACTCAAACCACGTAATATTAATAACAATTAAATTAGAAATCAGAATGAATTAGACAAATGTCAATGTATAAGCTTAGGAAAAGCAAAATTTTTAGGCAATTATCAGTTAAAAAACACATTAAAAACTTTAAAATGTACAAACTAAGATAAAGATTTAAAAAAAAACAAAAAAACTTTAATAATTGTGTCCAAAATACCGTATTATAACTAAATTAAAATGACTTATGAAAAAAAAGATACATTTATATAAACGTGAAAATGTAGAAAACACGTTAAATAATTATATTAGAAAACCATAAATTCATGCATATGTATCAAAATTACATAATCATAAATAGGAACGCATTATTTTAACCAACACTATCACGTAAAACTCCTTTGAAAGCAAAATTACGTACATTACTTCAACAGAAAATATTTGAAACACTTACAAGTAAAATGCTAATACAAACGATAGCCATGTAAAAGTAAAATCCATAAAGCAAAACCTAGTCAAATTTAAAAACATGTAAAACATGTTTATGTTAAGCAAGAATATTTTAATTAGTTAAACTGTTAAATTCAGTACTCGAAACAAAAAAATAGAAAAAGCACTGTAAGTTGAAAGTAAAAGAAATTAGAATTTGAAAAATTAAAATTAAAATGTACGAAACGTAACAAAATATACGAAGCAGTTACTCCCAAAATACTTTAAAAAGTTAAAACTGTAAAATTTCAATAATTCATAACACAATGTTATAATATGAATTAACAATTAAAATAAAACAAATAATGCAAAATAATTTAAAGAAGGTATAGATATACGATTTCAAAAATCCCATATACATATATAAATATACAACCGTAAAAAAATCAGACTTTTAAAAAAAAGATAGATTCAAGTTGGTCTATGTAGAACATTGCAATAAGAGAATAATATAAAACACGTGTCAACACTTTTAAAGAACGTATTCATTGTAAGTGCGAAAATAGGGAATTGTAAAAACTGTAAAATATAAACTGTAGTTAAATTCTAATCAATGAAATAATAAATATCACATTGATTCCTCCACAAAATGAAATAAATGGTTTAAGCAATTGTCAAATGCAAGACAGCAAGACACAGTGGAACTAAACATAAAACTACTACTATACTCTACTATAAAACAAACCCTTAAAATTATAAAAATAAAATTTTTCTCTCATATTTAGATATTGCATATTAATAAAAATTTTAAAGCGACTTTGTGATGATTATGTAATTGCAGAAAACATTGAAGTTTGTCAAAATACATCGAAAATGTTAAAAATCACAATTTAAATTGAAATAAAGTATAGAACACTTATAAGCAATTCGTTAAAAAAAATATGATTTTAAACTTCTGAATGTTAAACAGTAATAAAATTGAAATAGCTGAAGTTTATGTGAAGTAAATTAGGACAAACATTGTATATAATTGTAAATTTTTGTAATTACTTTTGTAAATTCTAGTATGACAGATACAAATAAATAAACAGCTGTGCTTTCTTTGAAACAGTATAAGATGCATTCGTTTCTCATTATTTGAAATTAGAGATACATAACAAAAATGATTTTTAACTTCTTTGCATAAAATCTATTTTCTTTACATGAATTTTATTTTCCTTACATCCTAAAATGTATTTTCTTGATACGAATCTTATCTTAACACGAATTTTATTTCCTTGACACGAATTTTATTTTCTTTACATAAAATTTATTTTCTTTACACGATGTTTTCGTTTATTACATTTTTATACGTCAATGTATATGATTTTACATTGCCTCATACAAAAAATTACTTCTTTTACATATAATGTATTTCCTTTACATGAAAGTTATTTCCATTACATCAAATTTATTTTCTTTACTTAATATTTATTTTCGTTACATTGTCATGAATTCCTACTTGACGTATTTCCGAGCGGTATAGAAATGACTAGGAATCCCTCTTTGACATATAAAATATAAACACAGCTCACAATGTTGTAAAACAACTCTCAAATAAACTTTTATTCTGTATAAACTCCAACAAGAATCCGGTATCAAAATAACACAATAACATTCACATAAACATGTGTTTGAAAAAGAGATCCAGAAAGATAAAACTCCTAGCTGTACAACTCCAGAGCATTCAAGAGCATTCTATATTGCCTAAGTTCCTCATTGGTCACCTTACATCATAATTAACCAATTAGACTTATTTGCCTCTAAAGTACCCAAGATTCTGGAAGCCTCCAAATATTACTCTTGGATTCTACATGGTGTCATGTGTTCCTAAAATTACCAATGTAGTTTACACTGTTTCTTTCATCAATTAAATGTTATTCTAGAATGTTCTATGTTAAAGTAAGTCAATGAATAGTAATTTATTACACTCCTCCCTCTTTCTGAGCTCAAAACTCTTCCGTAGAGTTGTGAGGGCCTGGTTTATGTAGGTTTATAAAATTAACCTTTTCCACAACAAAATACTCTCTAATGAATGAAAATATAAAACATCTTTAACTTGTAACTGAACATACATTGTAGAAATACACAATCGCATAAATTAAATGATAACATCATATGAAAAGCAAAATATATTTTCCTTACAATTGTAATAGGCAAACTTCAAACAACTATCTCTGCTTTTCTTTTTAACACATTTAAATACTGTGCTGTACCATTAATTTTTCCGGGAGAGCCCGTCAGCATTACTGTTGGAAATACCTCTTCTATGCACCACTGTAAAACAGTACGGTTGCAAATCAAGACTCCATCGAGTGAGTCGTTTGTTAGTATCCCTCATTTCATTCAGCCATTTTTGTGGCTGATGATCAGTCACTA